GTTGCACTGTTTACATTTTCTACTTATTACTTTTTTGCATACTTAAAATATGTTAGTGAGCCTTTCATTGCTTTGACAAAATATCTAACATAAAAAAAACTTTAAGGGAAGCTTAAAGTGTGACTTTCAGTACAGGCAGTAGAGCACTGCCTCGCAAGCATGAAGCCCTGAGTTCAAGCCCCAGTACCACTGTGTAAGGGGAGAATGATTTATTTCAGTCCATGGCTGACTGGTCCTGTGGCTGTGGAACGAACTTCACTGCAGGGAGCAGTGGTGGAATGAGGCAGCGCACTTTACAACGCACAGGAATCAGAGAGAGACACAGGAGGGCACCAGACAAGACACAGTCACAAGGAAACGCTCCCAGTGACCTACTTCTGAGGTAGAACCCACCAAAATTTGTCAGCACCTCCTCAAATAGTGCCACCAGCTGAGGACCTACTTAAACATAGTCATATTCAAACCATAACAATATATTAACTGCTGAGAAAGGAGAGGTGGAGGAGCACAAAGCTTATTTGTTCATTTCCCTTATAGTTTCTGCCAAGTTCTGCTTTAGACATTTTGGGGCTATGTTTTAAAATATACTTGGGGAGCTGTATTTTTAAGTGTATGTCAGTTGAGAACTGTATTTTTCTGGTGAGATCTTTAACTGCTGGTAATGATCGCACTTATCTCAAGTAACAATATTTGCTTTCAATATTATTTTGTCTGATATCAATGTAGTTATATCAGATTTTTAAAAATTTTAGGTCTGCATTTACTTGAAATATCTTTTCTATCCCTTAACTTCCTATGTTTCTGGATCTCTGCATTTGTGTGCCTTGTGTTTATGCTTTTATTAATAGGATATAACTTCAAAAAAAAATCTGATTATTTTCTTCTAACCAGAAAATTTGACTTATATCTATTGTGATTACTGGTGCATTTTTAGTTGGCAGCATGACTCAAGTGGTAGAGTACCTGCCTAGCAAGCATAAGGCCCTGAGTTCAAACCCCAGTGCCACCACAAAAAAAGTGATGTTTTTATTTATATGTATTTGCCCTCGTATTTCTGTTTCTCCTCCTCCTCTTCCTCTTCTGTCTTCTTGTCCTTCCTTGTCCTCTCCTGGACTTATTGAAATTATTTCCTAACCTTTATTATTCAAACAAAGAAGTTACACTTAGGCTAGAGGCATGGCTCAAGTGGTAGAGCACCTGCCTAGTAAGTGTGAAGCCCTAAATTCAAACTCCAGTACCACTAAAAAAATGATGTATACCACCATTATGGGAGGAAAGGTAGAACTTAGTAAGGGACATCTGAAAAGACTAAGTAAGTGAAGAGGTTAAGTCTTGCATACTAGTAGGGTACCTTAATATTGTAAATCTGCCAATTATCCCCAAATTAAAGCCCATATCAATGTAATTTCAGTGAAAAGTACAGAAATGTTTTAAAAGAAACTCAAATTTATTATAAAGCCTGTGTTCTACAAATAGATTTTTGTAAACGAAGATCCAAAAGAGGAATTGCTGTGGTTTGAATGTGTCCCCCGAAGTATTAAATCCCCAATGCAACAGAATTAGGAGGTAGAGCCTAATGAGAGGTGACTAGACAGAAGTGTTCCTCCCCCATGAATGAACTGCTGCCTTTGTTTTGGGTTCATCATCTTGAGAGTGAGTTCATTGTAAAGAGATAAGTTTGGTCACCTACTCTCTCTCTCTTGCCGTCTTGCTTCTGCTATGTGGTGTCACAGCAGGAAAGCCCTCACTAGATGCTGGGGCCATGATCTTGGACTTCCTACCCTCCACAAATGTGAGCAAAAGTAAGTTTATATCCATTGTGAATTACTCACTCTGTGGTGTTCTGAATGGTAGCACAAAATGGACTAAGACAGCATTCTTGTCTGCTAAATACTAAAAATTAAACCACTGAAGTACTGGTTTAGAAACAGAAGAACTGAGGGTGGGATAAAATGATAGAGAGGGTGAATTCAATTATGATTATTGTAAGAACTTTTGTAAATGTCACAATGTACCCCAGTACAATAATAATAATATAAGCAAAAAGAAACAGAAAAAATTGATTGGAATAGCAAAACAAAGAAACCAGAAACATAGCAAATTATGTATGAGAACATTCCCCAAGGAAAAAAGAAGAGATTATTGAATAGTAATAATCAATTCTTAATGAATAGTATTAAGAAAACTAGATCACTAAATAGAGAAAGGTTAGCTTCTACTTCAATCTATTTGTGAAGGTGAACTAAAAACAGACTAAAGTCCTAGATGTGAAGGTAAAGAGGGAACTGAAGAGACTGTGATGGGACATCCTTCTAACTCTGAGTCAGAAAGGATTTCTTAAACAAAACTCCAAAAGAACAAACTACAGAGGAGGAAAAATGATGATTTTCCACATCCAAATCAGAGATTCCTGTCTACTGAAGCACACCACAGAAAAAGTGAGCAAACACATGGCAGAAGATGCATTCCATTTCTAGTAATAAAGTGGACAAAACATCCTGAAAACCTTGTGCCACAAAATCCCTTACAATGTTAGGCAAAATATTATTAATCATAACTCTGTATGCATAACTGAGATCACAAGAAAGACAGGATGATCTCAAGAGGCCAAGAATGCAGCTGTAGCACAAATCCTGAGAGTCAAGTGACGACTGTGCTATCTTCCCTCACTGAAGGGAGCTAGGAAACATGACCAAGTTCTGTGAGGAGTGAAAGAAGTCTTGAAGGGATCAAATGGATCTCTGTAACTTCACTGTGCGAACAAAATCCCACATACACCATGCCTGGCACAAGGCAACTCATTGAAAAATTGGGAAAATAAGGGAAAAGGGGAATGGGGAAAGAGAGCAAAAGAGAGGGTCAATATGATCAATGTACAATATTTGCATGTGTGAAACACCATGATGTTTGTAAATTAATAAACACAAATAAAATGCATATTAAAAATAAAATTCACCATTTCAGCACAAAGAAAAAGTTACCAGGCATGCAAATACTAAAAATGTGACCCATTACCTGAAGAAAATCAAGTAAGAGGAACATATCCAGAAATTACAGGGATGGAAAATTAGCAGACAAGGATGTTAAACCACTATTCTAAATGTGACATGAGCTCAAAAGGTAGAGAAACATGGATGTGATGGGGAAAGGAACAGGAGATGCACACACACACTCAAATGGAGCGCCTAGAGATTAAAAAATATAATATGTAGCCACCGCCTATGGCTCACGCCTGTGATCCTAGCTACTCAGGAGGCAGAGATCAGGAGGATCATGGTTCAAAGCCAGCCCGGGAAAATAGCTTGCAAGATGCTATCTTGAGAATACCCAAAACGGGCTGGTAGAGTGGCTGGCCTGCCTAGCAAAGCATGAAGCCCTTTGTTCAAACTCCAGTACTGACAAAAAAAACAAAACCCAAAAGACAAAATTAAAAAAACAAACCAATATGTGAAATAATAAGCACATGGATGAGATCAACAGTAATGTAAACCCTGCTGAAGAAAAGACAAACAACTTGAACACATAGCTATAGAACTACCCAAGATGAAGGAGAGGGAAAAAAGGAGGGAAAAAATGAACAGAGCCCTTGTGACCTGTGGGAAAACACCAGTCTGACATACCTGAGACTGGAATCTCAGACGTGGAATACAGAAAGGCATTTGAATAAATAATAGCCAGACATTTCTAAGTTTGATGAAAACTACAAACCCACTGATCCAAGGTGTTCAACAACTATCTATCTGAATAATTATTAAAAAATTATGCTTTTTTTTAATTAAAATCAAATTGCTGATAAGGAAAAATATTGAAAGCAGAAAAACAGATACATGCACATAGGAGCAAAAATAAAAATGGTAGCAGATTTCTCAACCAAAATATAAGTGAAAAGATGGTGGGATGATATTAACATTTTAAAAACTATCAACCTAGGGTTTTATGTGTAATGACAATATTTTTAAATGAAGACAAACAAAGATTTTTTTCAGGTGAACAATAGCTGAGAGACTGCACTGCCAAGATATTTGCAATATAAGAAACATTAAAAACAAATTCTTTAAGCAGAAGAAAAATGATACCAATTGGAAATTTGGATCTCCATAAAGGAATTTGGAATTTACTATTTTTAATGGTAAATATATGGTTAAGTGTAAAAGACTTCTTTCCTCTTTTAAAAGTCTCCTTAAATGATAATTGAGTGTTCCAAGAAGAAATAACAGAAATACATTTGGAATTTACAATGTATATAGAAATAAAATAGATAACAAAATAACATCAAGAATGGGAGGGGAAATGAAAGCCTATTGTTGTAAGATTCTTACACTGTATGTATATTATTTGTAGGTAGATAACTAAGCAAAGAAGCCAATGAAATGAAAGGCAGAAAAACAATAGGGTAGCCAATTAAATCAAAATCTGGTTGTTTTAAAAGATTGATAAGAATAAATACATAGTTAAACTAATTAAATATAAGAGAGAGAAAATAAAAGTTACCAACTTGAAGGATGAAAGAGATATCACTAGAGACCCTAGTGAGTAGAGATGCTAGACCCTAGTAGAGATCCTAGAGACAGTAAAAGGATATGAGAGTATTGTAAATCTTATGCCAATAAATTCAACAACTTAAGTGAAATGAACAAATTCTTTGAAAGTCACAAATTATTAAACCTCATTCAAAAAGACATTAATATCTTGGACAGCCTTGGGTAGCTATTGAAAGAATTGAATTTGTGGTCAATTCCTCCTTACAAAGAAAACTTCAGGCCCAGTGATTTAATTGGTAAATTCGACCAGACATTCAAAGAGCATATAGCACCTATCATATACAATGTTTTCCAGAAGATAGAAAAATAAGTGTAAAATATCCAAACATAAATTTACCCATATGTGATCAACTCATTTTCAACAAACCTTCCAAGGTAATTGAATGGAAAAGAGGAAAGTTTTTTAAAAATGGTGCTAGACAAATTGGATAATTGAAAGAGAAAGTAGCATCCCTCAATGTTTGGATCGTACTATATACAAAAAATTTAACTCAAAATAGATACACTAAAAAATAAGAATTAAAACCGTAAGACTTCTAAAAGGCAATAGGAGACACTTGGGTTAGACAACTCTTAATTTATAAAAGAGGAGCCAGGGGTAAAGAAGAATGGTTAACACAACTAGTTAGTACCAGAATTTGTCTTGAAACCCTAAATTTCATGCTCAGATTTGATACACTTGACTGGCAGTGGGTCTACGTGAAATGAATGAAAATGCTATGGTGCTCCCTGTGCCTTCGTGTTCCATCCCAGTTATAGAAGAATGCTAGCTCCTCCCAGGGATATAACCTTGCTTGCCCCAGGAAATTAGCGTTCTGCTGTCCACCCTCAGAACAAACCACTGATTCCCCATCCCTGGCTTGAAGGGCAGTGGCTGGTGACCACAGCACATACATACCTCTGAGGATGGCCAGAACTTTGCAGGTCATCCTAAGTTATTCAAACTTATAAGCTGGCCGATCACTGAGTCCCAGCTGTACTTTCCTGCCTCCAGCCTGCCTGACACTCTTGCGAATCTCTGACTGGCCAGTCTAACTACCCCTTGAGGATGTGGCTGCTTTAGGGAGCCTGCTTCAGGCTCTCAGCTGTCACAGCCTCTCTCCTCCAAGCTCCTCAGGGCTTTTTTGGTGCATCTTTCAGAGTGCACATCATCTGCAACCCTGCATTGTGTCTCTTCATATACAAATCTCTCCTCCCTGCTATGGCTCCTTTGAAGATAGGAGTCATGATATCGTCATCTTCGTGCCTCCCACTACAGTGCCTGTTCGGTGAATGGATGGGTCTCGTGAGGCCATTATAGGTTAGACTTTTGTCCTGTGTCTCCTTGGAAGGCACGGATCCCCTCCCACTCTAGACATGCAGAGATGCCTCGCCTTTCGTTCGTGCTACATGAGCCTCTGCTCGGGGCCTAGCAGACCGTGGGCACTGGTCACCTCTCTGTGCAAGTCCCCATCCTTCACATTTCTGAAACCGTATACTGTAACCCAGCAGCCCTATACTCCCTCCTCCTCCAGGCCCCAAGGCCTGGAAACCCCTTTTGTGAAGTGCTCCATATAGGCTGAGGTGTACGGTCTCTGCGTCTTTATTTCTAAGAACTTCCTGCTTGTCCTATGGCCCCAGTTTTGGCCTTCTGTGGTAAAAGTAGAGCTGGCAGAAGAAATCCCAAGGAAAATGGCTTTTGGGGATTCCTAAGTGAAGATGGGAATGGACCATTACCTGTCCAGACAAAGGTCATCTGGACTACCTCCTGTCTCTGGAGACATTCTAGGTCCATTTGGGGTAGTAACTCTCCAGTTCAGAAATTCCTTTGGTTACATATTCCCACTTCTCAGGAAGGTGCTTTTGACATCCATCCTCATCCCCTGCTCCTTGCTGTGACTTAAGCTCCTTCTTTCCTGAATCTATCATGAACTTGAGTGCAAGAGGAGGCCATGTAAAGCAGAGGCCAGACAGAGCAGCTTGTGTTTCCACTTGTCAAGTGAACTGCCAGACCTGGGAGAGGGTGGGCTTGGCCTTCTCCAGGGTTCCCTCCTTCCCCTGGCCTCAGCAAACTCCAGAACATTTCCTGGGAACCCACAAGGTGCAGGGGCCAGGCCTTGAGGATGAAGGTTCTGGAGGTGGTGGTGGGTCACACAGAGGTGCTCCCAGGAAAGGGAGGCCCACATCCCATTGGTGACACCAGCAATGGGGCAATGGAGATGGTGAGTCATGCACTTGGTGGTCCTTCTCATCCACTCTGACAGGGGCACCCAGAGCAGATCCTGGAGTGGGGTTCTCCCCATTCCAGACTGTTCCTGGCCCCGGGGAAAGACAAGCATATGGCAGTCTTAGGCAACTGGCCCTGTGTTCCCACACATCTAATGCCCAGAGAGGCCTCTAGCCCACTGCTCCCAGGGTTTTTGCAGGACAGAGGCATGTGTAGGAGACAGGGCTAGGAGGCCACACAGACCCTCTAATGTTTCTTGGTTTTTCTGAACTTGCAATCAGGCTGCAGGAGAATCCAATTCTGACTCCAGTCTTCCCCTGAGTCAAAGTCCACCCATCCTCCCACCATGAGCCTCGTAGACAGCGGTGGCTTTGAGATCTTTCCATCAACACACCTCAAGTAATCTGCAAAGGATTTGCCTTAGTCTGGTTCTTTAATTAAAGAAGTACAGAGAGCAACTCCCACTCATGCCCTGGATGCCCTTGTCCTCACCCAGGTCCTCTGACCTCCTTACTCTCTTCTCTGTGGTCACAGGAGGCTTGACTAGTCCCACTCTTCCCCTAACAGCCCAGCCCAGGAAAACAGCTGGCTTCCATCTTGCAGACTATTCTTTGTGGATCTCTGGAGGTTGAGAACAATGACCCCACATGTCCAGGACATTCTGTTTGAGGACTCAGCTTGAGACTACTTCTTCCATCCTCCATGCCCTCCTGTCCATGCCTCCCCAAAAGCCCCCTTGCTCCTGTCTTCCTGAGGCTCTGGGCATGGCCTCCATCCTTCAGGACTGGCTCCCTGGGCCGGGGTGGGTGTCAGGAGTGAAGCTTCAGAGATCCACCATCCATTCCTTGGCTATGGGCTGTCTGGGCAGCAGGGCCATCTCAGGGAAGGTGGGGCTAGGAGCTGGATTCTGCAAAAACAAGATATTCCAGTTGGTTTGGAAAAGGCAGCTTCCCTTCCCCTGAAGGTTCTGCAGTAGTGGGCACAGGCTCAAACCCAGAGCCTACACATGCTCTCTGAGCCTGGGCAAAACCCTTCCCTGGCCCATTGGGCAACCATAACCACCCTCAAACACCCACTGGGGACTTTGAGAGTGGCCTCCTAAGAGGCTCAGCACAGATGCCTTAGGGAGATGTTTTGGTCCACTGCCAAAGGGCCATTTTTGTATAAAGATCAAATCTGAATAACTAAAAATGTTTAGGAGTTACTTTATGTTTTGCTATTCAAAATATAATGTGTTTTAAATACTATTAGGGAAAAGTGTTTTCCTAGTAACATATGTCATTTCCAGACTGGGATGTAACTCAGTGGTAGAGCACTTGCCTAGCATGCATGATGCCCTGGGTTCGATTCCCAGCACCAAAAAAGAAAAGAAAGTTATAAATTATTTGCCCTACTGAAAGGAGGTCACCAGTGAGAGCTGGCATGGCCTCTCGGGCACTCGGTGTCCACATCTGGGCACAGTTCTAGAGGTGCACACAGAGGAAGCAGTCTGAAGCAAGCTCAAGGCCACACTGGATGCTTAGATGGGCAGTATGTAACCCTGTAAGTCAACAGCTGCTCTTCTACACCAAACGCCTCATTTTCCAAACTAGCAAATCAAGGCCCCAGGAGGGCCCATGATGGCCAAATAACAGGGCTCACATACTGTCAGGCAAAGAATCTCCGTCTCCTGCCCCCTAACTGAGCCACTCTAGAGGGGAGAGCCCATGTGGACTCCCTGAAGGGAGAAATATGGCTGCCCCTCTGACTGTCTTTCCTGTTCCCCTGCCAGCGTGTCCACTGCTAGGGCAGCCAGGTTACCTGTGACAATGAGGGTGGCAGTGCTGACAGCCTGGCCCAGCGGGTTCTCGGCCACAGCCTTGTACTTGCCACTGTCCTTAGGGGAGACGCTGGGGATGATGAGGGAGCACATGCCCAGCACATCAGTGCTGTAGAGTGCAGGGTTTCCTTCCAGGCTCTGGCCATTCTTGAACCAGGTGACACGTGGCCGGGGCGAGCCCTGCACAGCACAGGTCATCCGGCACTCAGAGCCCGGAGGCAGCAGGTGGGCCCGTAGGCCCACCAGGAACCTGGGCTTCTGGCTCAGATCCAGTTCACGGTAGCTTGGGGCCTTCACCGTGAACCTGTCTGTGATGAAAATCAGGGCAAGAGAGAGGAGGGTCAGAAAGTCAGGAAAGGTCTAGAACGTTCAGTGCTGCTGAGGCGTTACCCAGGCTTTCCCCCACATCTCATTGTTTTTATCCTGTTCTTAAAATTCTTTTTTTTTTTTACCATAGCTAATATGTATTTTGTGTGGACCAATTAGAACACACAGAGAATCAAAAGGAGCAAGAATAAAAACCAACCACAATGTCACTACCTATAAACGACTGCAACTGGCTTTTTGTTATAGAACCTTCTAGATACTGTGGCATTACAATCTGCTTTTTCTTGTGACCTCTTTTAAGGCCCACATCTATTTGACTGTAAAATGTACTTCGTGTTCGGAGAAATGTTAACTTCTATTTCATCTTAATGCATACCACTGTCTTTGAGAATGCAACCAAAGTCACCCCAACACCCACAGCTCTACTTGTTCTCCTCCTGGAGGTGGGACCCACCCTGAGTCAGGATGCAGAGAACATCAGTACAGGTGGACATCAGGAAGGAGGTAGAGAATAGCTTTGGCTTTGGCTGGACCTGGAGTGTTCCCAGCCCCCTTTCCATAGCTGCTCATCAGCCATCCTGGAGCTTATCACCTTTACCAGCAAAGCCTCTCCCTCCTTGGGGACCCTTACCTCGCTGCCGTGGGATGTACAAGGCTGGCTGGTGTCTGATGGTTTGCTAGCCCCCAGCTCATTCTTGGCCAGCACCCGGAAATAGTACTCGTGGCCGGGAAGGACACCCAGGAGAGTAAAGTGGTTGGTGTGGATGCGGTCAGCCACCTCACGCCAGGTGCCATGTGACAAGGAGCGTGTCAATACTGAATAGTGCAGGGGGATGCCCTGGGCCTCATCCGGGGAGGGCTCCCATTGGACTGTCACTGTCCCTGGCACATTCTCCTGCAGGTGGATGGGCCCTGGGGCCTGCGGGTATGCTGCAGGAGAGAGAGCAGATGGAGCCTGCACTGCAGGGGACCCAGGGGCCTGCTGCGGTCCTCCCCCAGCCCCCCAAGTCTTCTGACATCCTGGGGAATGCGGTCTTGCCAGGCAGGTTAACCGGAGCCAGAGGGTAGTCAGTTGGAGTTGTGCAGTTATCTCTGGAGGGTGAAAAACCTCACTCAAAAAAGTTTTTTTTTGAGACAGGGTCTCACAGTGTAGCCTAGACTGGCCTCAAGTTTGAGATCCTCCTGCTTCAGCCTCCTGAGTGCTGAGATTAAATGTGGGTACCGCCATGCCCAACTCCAAAAGAATAATTTTATTTATTTACTTATTTTTAATTAATTAATTTTTTGCAGTACTGGGGTTTGAACTCAGGGCCTCATGCTGCTAGGCAGGTACTCTACCACTTGAGCCACTCCTCCAGCCCAAAAGAATACTTCTAAATTCACTTTAGTTTTTAAGTAAAATGACACAGAACATGGACTGGGCTTTTACAAAATCAGGTTACAGACCCCCCAACTGTTGGTTTATTTCATCATTTCTAAACATGCAAGGATTCATTCTGGATGGGGACCAAGTGTGAGTCATTTCAGGGGAGGGCCACCTACACTTCTTCCTTTGGGAACTTTCTGGTGTTATAATGGTGAGAGCTGCCTTTGATCATTGACTGCAAATGAGGTGACGTGTGGCCAACTTCCCCAACTTCCTGAGTTAGAACAATTAAAGCCCCTCAAGGATTCTCTGCCCCCCCACCTCCTTTCTATCTCCAAGGCATAGGAAGGGAGGACAGTGTGGTCACCTTGCACACTCAGGCCTGGTAGAATGACCTGTGTCCAGGTCAGATAAACCTCCATGCTTTGGGGAGGGCCCAGAGACATGCTGCCTCACCTGCCACCCTGATGAAGAAGCTGTGAGCAGCTTCCTGCCCCTGGAGGTTCCGCAGCACCACTGTGTAACGGCCACTGTCCGAGGGGCTAGTCACAGGAATCAGAAGCTGGGTGAGCCCATTCTTGGTAGTGGTCACACTTCTTTTGGGTAAGGGCAAACCATCTTTCAGCCAGGTCACCTCAGGCAGGGGGGCAGCCTGGAGAATGAGAGGAGGACAAGCTGAGAGGAAGTTTTGTAGCAGTGATGGGATTTAGGCTGAGGTAGAAGTGCGGAGAAGAGCATTCTGGGAGGGGAGCTCTCTGAGCAAAAAAACCCCACAGAAGTGAGGAAGAGCCTGTTCAGAAATGGGCTGGTGGGAGGTGCTGGTGACAAATGGCATTGGCAGGTGGGTATGTTGTGGGGGGCGGTGCAGGGAAGTAGGAAAGAAAGCTGGAGAGGGACCCTAGAGAAAACTGTGACGTTCCCTCAATATCACATCCATGCAAACATCTGGATCTTATTCTGTGAGCAATGAGCTGCTGCTGGAAGGTGCTGAGCAGGACGGCATAATTGGTTCTGGATTCACATGGGGAGTTCTGGGGTGGGGGGGAGGGGAGTATTCCCTACCCTGGTACTCCAGAGCAGTTAGGGGGAGACTTGGGAATCCCTGCACTATGAGCTTCCACACAGATAATGATTACCATCATCATAATCTTAATAAAAGTAACACAATTGGGTGCTTGCCATATGCCAAGCTCCACTTACATATAGGCTTTCAAATGTGTTAATCTCTTGGCTCCTCAGAACCACCTTTTGAGAAAGGTATGACTGTTCTCCCCATCTGAGGCATGAGGAAGTTGAAACACAGAGAGGTTAAGATATTTGTCCAAGTCAACCCGCTAGTGAGTGATATCGGAATTTGAACTCAGGCAGTTTGTGCTTCTAACTTCCACAATACTGCTACACTGTAGAGTCAGGTGGTGTTGATGGTAGTTGAAGATCATCCTGAGTCAAATTCAGGTTGTGCACTTGCAAAAAGTGCATTCTGAAGTCAAAGAGGATTATCCGCACTGCAGGTCCCCTGAATTCTCAGACTAAGTGAGGGGGGTGGGTGGGGGGGGTGGGGGAGGGGAGCCCTAGTTTGGAGTTGTAGTACCAGAAGCTACCACTAGAGGGATTTGTACACTGTACAGGGAGCACAATGACTGGCCATCCAGTGGCTAGGTGCCACCTGTGCCTTCAATAAGGAATCCTCCTTCCTTCTCACATTAAGCCTGGTTTCCAGCACAAGCCCAGGTCATTGACTTGGGACCAAAAAAGAACAAGGAAGAAAAGAGAACCCCAGGACTGTCTGGCTAACTTGACAACTCTAGGTTCCCCTCCCCACACCCTTAAAAGTATACTCACTTCAAAGGAGACAGGCACTCGAATGGTGTCCCCAGCTCTGACCATCAGTGAGTCCTTTATGCTGGAGTCCATGAGAAACTTGGGACAGACTGGAACACACAACATGGCTTGTCACCTCCCTGGAATAATTAGGCCCCAGTCCCAGGTCACCCAGAGGCAGGTGAAGGCTGGGCCAGTGGAATTGCCACTGAGATGCCAAGGACTGGGGCTATAATGAAAGGAAGCTGGGAAGGAAATGCTGGGGGATGCTGGAGGGGACAGGCTGGTGGGAGAGGGACAGAAGTGGAGACAGGAACACCACAGGGGAAGGTTAGACGAGAATAAGGAAGAAGGTGACAATAGAGTTCTTTTGTTCTGCAGATGAAATGACCACCAATCTGAGACAGGAAATGACTTGCCTGAATTGCCTGGGGGGTCCCACCAGATTACATACAGAACCAGGACAAGATTCAGAGATTCTGAACTCCAGGTGCTTTGTGCTTTTCACTGTACTCGTCTTGGTATTGTCACAGTGACAACTAGGATCAGTTGGATGGCATAATCAGCTTAGGTCAAAAACAGGGAGTTTTTGATAACACCACCCTAACAAGAACCACTGAGTGGAGTAACACTTATGCCTTGGAGTCACCTGTTCTAAATCCTGGCTCTGCCTCATACCAATGGTGAGACCCTGGGGAAAGTACCTTGGGCTTCAGTTCCCCTCTCTGTAAATCAAGGGTAAAAAGTTATTAACCTTGAAGGATAGTTATGGGTTGTAATGAGAAAGAATTTCTAAAAGAGGGTCTGCCTAGCACACGGAAAGTGCTTCGCACGTGGTAAGCTAAGCTGGGGAAGGAGACCGTGGCTTCATAAGTGCGTGGTGGCTGTTCAGGGGCTCCTCTCAGGAAGGGCTGGCAGGCGCGGGATGGGGAAACAGGTGGCACTCACCAGTAGCAGGCATGGCGTACACTAACTTGTCCAGGGCAGTGGGCTGGCTGTGGCCCCCGTCATTAACTGCAATCACGCGCACAAAGTAGCCCTCTCCAGGCCGAAGCCCCTTGGCTGTGAAGGTGGTGCCTGGCACAGTGCCTACGTGGCACGGGCTCCACTGGAGACTGTCTGAGACACACAGCTCTACCACATATCCCTGGGCTTTGTCTCCATCTTGGGTGTCCGGTCCCACCCAGCTCAGGGTGATGCTGGTGTTCGATGTGTCTGTGACCTGGAGATCCCGCACCGGCCCTGGGCATCCTGGCCAAGGACAATTGAAATGTCAGGAATGGCATCAGCCTCTCCTGTGGGAGCCACTCAGGGTGACATTCATTAGCCTTCCCATGGAGGATTGGGAATTCCTTTTGCTTTGCAGTTTCTGAGGTTCCTACCTGGAAAGAACCCTTCCTCTCTCTAGCACTTTGACTCAGCTATGCACACAGATGCCAGACCACCTCCCCCACTTCATCCGTTCACTCACCCACTCGCCAGCCCCCTTCCCTGACTATCCTGTGATTCTTAAGAACAGTTAATGCTTTAGGCTCCACTGTCCCTGAAGACTAGGAATCTATGACTGTATTCTGAATTGTATGCTCTTAAGCGGGACGACCTTTGGGACACTCAGTGTGACTTCTTATTCTGCATCTATTAAGTGGGAACAGTAACATCTTTACCTACCCTGGGTGTGGGGGAGAGCGGGCTCTGGAACAACCCATGTATGTGAAGGGGCTCTGGAAATTGCCCTGCAGGCTAGCGCTCTCATGGCTAGCTGCATATTAAAAATACTGTCACTGAGATGCTACCCCCAGAGAGTCTGAGTTAATTAATCTGGGGTACAGCCAAGGCATCGGGATTTGTAAGTGGAGCACCTCAGGTTTTATTAAATATGTAGTGGAGTTAAAAAACCACTGGTCTATGGGAGTGTTTGCGTACACATCACCAGGGAGCTTTGTGGAAAACACAGATCCTGATTCAGGGGGTCTTTTGAGGCCTGAGAAAAGTTGCCAGGTGATTACTGTTAGCCCACGGACTTTGCCCAGTAGTGAGAATCCAGGAAACATAGTCAGTGCCGTGGCTGCTGTGGGACACGGCCTATCCTAGCTGTTGTCTCCATTCCCACCACTGATAAGAGAGAGATTCATAGTAAATAGGATAGATTTGGTCCACTTGTAAGGACCACTTGCACATGCCAGCTCTCCTCCCTAATCCTGCCATTCTACACTCTGTGCTTCCTAGGACTAAAACTTAGATTCTGCTTGAACAATTGAACTTGTAGAATGTTCCATTCTTTTTTTTTTTTTTTTGGTGGACGGGGGTTTAAACTCAGGGCTTCATGCTTGTGAAGCTGGTACTCTACCCCTTGAGCCACACCTCTAGTTCTGAATGTTCTACTCTTGCCAGATTCCTTCAAACAGCCTGCCACATGGCTGGTCCAACAAGTGCCAGAAGAGTGCTGATTCCTTGGTGGCTAGTAATCGGCAGGATTTTAAGGGGATGATGCATTTAGAGTAGCATTTTCCAAGCTCTACGCCTTGGATGAAATTTTTAATAGGCATTTTATGAAAAAAGGTATTTCTACTCAAAACTGACAGATTTAGATGAAAGTTAGACAGGTTTCTTTCCTGTGGGACATGTAAATATCATAGCTCATGTCATACCTATCTTTGATCACAGACCTTTTCTGTGTTTCTGTTGTGTTGAGAATGTCTATTGGCACCTCTCTGATGCTCCTGAGACCACAGGTAAGGCATGTTGTTCTAGACTATCAGTTTCCCAAGGGCAGAGAGCACGATTGGTGCACCTAGTTCCTGGCACAATACTGGCCAGCTACTGGGTGATGATCAGCATCCGTTGGATAGACAGTTGAGGCTGAGCTTCCCCTATCACCAGTTCCCTAAGAGTTGATAGTCCCTGGATGGTTGTAAGACTGGGTCAGTAGGACAGGTAGGGGACTGATGTGCCTAGAGACCAAAGAATGAGTGATTTGATCTTGGGAAGGAGTCTTCTAATCCCCACTGCCTGGCCTCTGGACCTGCTTGATCTTGATTTAGTGTCTTTAAGATAAATCTCATCCAGTGACCTTTCAATCGGTATCTTCCAGCCTTCCTGACCATTTCCTTCAGGACTGTTCCTGATCTGCTACCTCCTTTCCTGTCCCACCCAGCCTCAGAGATTTCCTATGCTCACCACCCATCCCACACCCTCCTGGGTTGGTGCCGCACTTACTCATTGGGTCCCGGGCAAAGACAGCATCCGATGGGGGTCCTGGCTCTCCAGCACCCGAGGGAGCCACGGCTGTGACTCGGAACTCATACTGACAGCCCTGCCGCATGTCCACGACAGTGAACCTCCTTTCTGGGAAGGGATACCCCACATTATTCCCACCTTGGTAGAACCAGGTGATGGGGAGATAGCTCTGTGCTTCTGAGTTCAGGAGAAGACCAAACCTGGAGTATTAACACATCCCTCCTGCATCTAGCCAGACAGATGACTCAGTTCTCTCCAAGACGAGAAGACTACTATTTGAGGCCTTGGGGTCCCCCATCCCTGTTCGGTTCTGCCACTAACTCACTGAGTGGTCTCAAGCAAGTTTAATCTCTTTGGTTCACTTTGCCTTACAGAGTTGTAATATTTAAATGAAGCAGAGTTACTAAATGGTAAAGCTAGAAAGATGTCCTTAGTTCATCTTTCTCTTTCCAGACGTGAGGATATAAGGCCCTGAGAGGCCTCAGTTCCTAGGCAGGACAGCCATGACCAGAAATCAGGTCTCCTGACAACCTATCTGGAATCCATTCTCTGTTTTTCATGGCACACAGAGCACAGGTGCAAAGGTTGCTGGGGACCTTCCTGGCATCTGCCCAACTCTTTGGCTTTTCCAAATTCTTTCTGATCTCAGAAAGCAGTTAGTTCTTAGGAAGCTACTTAGGGAGGCAGGGAACACTTCTCTCCTCTTTATGGATGAGAAAACTGAGATCTAGAGAGGAGGCGTGCTGCCCAAGGCCAAGGCCCGAAGTAGAGAGATCAAGGCTAATAGCTTTATCTCTGGTTTCCGTCCTGAGACTTCTACTAAACCAGGGTTCCTCAACCTAGCACTACTGACATTTTTTATCAGATAATTATTTGACTTTTGTGTAGGAGGAAGTGTCTTGTGCATTTAGGGTGTTTGGGGGCATCTCTGGTCTTCTCACAGTAGATGCTAGGAACTACTCCCACCCCATTATGACAATTAAAAATGGCTCCAGACATTGCAAATGCTCCCTACGAGGAGCACCTGGGCATCCAAAACCCACCCCAGATGAGACCCACTGGATTAAAGCAATTGGTACTGACAATGCCATGGGAATTTGGAACCAAGGTTGGGTCTAAGGCAACCTGGAGCCAGGACAAGGAGAAGCACCCACTCACGCCTGCTCACCAGGCACTGGCTGCTCGTTCACTGCTGTCCAGGTGTTGCTCCCCTTCTTGCGCTTCTCGATCAGGTAGCCCAGGATGTGGGCACTGCCAGAGCCTCGAGGTGCTGTCCATGTTAGAGTAATGCACTGGCTGGAGGCTGTCAGGATGGCTGGGGCAGAAGGGGGCCCTGGGAGAGCTGAGGGCAGAGAAGGTGCCCGTCAACTGGAAGTTGAGTCATGGTGCCAGCTCATGGGGAGGTTCTGGGGTAGATGCATGGGGCATCTGGGTGCAAGGCCACAACTTGTCCTTTCCTGGGGAGTGTTAGGGCTAAGCAGGCCTGTTCTGGGGCATCATTCGGGCTGTTGCAGGGCAGAAATGATGGGACAGAGAAGTGCTCTGGCCTTGGAGTCTAGAGTCAGTCCTGGTGGCTCTTATCTTCAATCCCCAATAACTTCTGATGGAGGAAGATGGTGATCTATACCAAGGCCCTGTGTATCTGTCTGTCCCTTTTCTTCCTGACCCCAGAAACCTCATTTCCTGACCTGGCTGCCCAGATACCAAATGTAGCTGAGGTAAAGAGTCTCTGCTGTATTCTAGAGGGGCTGCAACCCCCCCAGGCACAAGCTGGTGTCCCTCAGCCTTGGGGGCAGACCTGCCTATCCATGGGCACAGTGGAGGACCAGGAGTGTCCCATAGTCTCAGCTACAGCTGTTTTTCTCACCTTCAGGAGCCACCAGCACCTCCTCGGACTCCAGGGCATCCCCAGCCCCTTCTGAGGTCACGGCCCGCACGCGGAAGGCGCACTTCCTCCCCTGCTCCACGCCTGCATCGGTGAAGGTGGTGCTGCCTGCACGTGGCTCGCCCACCTTTAGCCAAGTGCTCCTGCCAGCCTGTCGCCTCTCCACCATGTAGTGCTCCACTGCCCGGCCCCCATCGTCCCTTGGGTGCCGCCAATGGAGGTAGACACCAGCCCTGCGGCAATGCTGCACCTCCAGGGGGCCCTGAGGGGGTTGAGGCTTGTCTGAGGACCCACCAAGAGGAGAAGGAGGAGAAGGAGTCAGAAAAGTTGAAGAAGAGCAGTGTTGATCTGCCCCCTTATCAGTGCATAAGCTTGCAATGGGGGGACTGCCAGAAAACACTGGGCATACCAGGGCTGCACACAGTTCCTGAGACAGCCAGGTGTCTCTGGTCTCCACCAACCCTCTCCCACATTGTGCCAAGCAATGGCCCCCATCAGTGGCTGGTGCAGATGCCTGCTCAGTCCTCTAGATGCAGGCAGTCCTACTTTGCTGCCACCCTCAAACCATTCCACCACAGTAACCTCCTTAGAGCCCAGCACACTAAGGGTCACGGAGGCAGAACCAGGCCCTCCCCCAACAAGACCCTCTCCCCCACTGCAGTTTATCCAAACTGCTTCTTCCTACTCAGTGTGGGGAGGGGACAGAGTATGGTAGGGGTGGCTTTGGAGCTTCAACAGCATGCAAATGAGGACCAGAGCCAGCAGAAACAATGGCAGGACCTGCCCTTGTTGGCAGGGAGGGCCTGAAACCCCAAGACCCTCAGGCCTTGGTTGGGGAGAAGGTTAGGGCTGGCACCTATGACTTGCAGGGTGAGCTCAGCCTGCACAGAGCCTCCCTCGCTCTGCAGTGTCACGCTGTACTGGCCACTGTCCTTTCTGCCTGCACTGGGGAGGCACAGCCATGTGTAGCCATCCCCCAGGGCCACCTGGGCCCCCCTGTGGCTGCTGCCCACCACCTCGGTCCCGTCTTTCCTCCAGGCAGCCTGAACAGGGAGGCGGCTCTGAAAGGGGATCTTTATTGTCACTGGCTTCCCGGCCTTGATCACCAGTGGCTCTCTCAGTTTCTTTGTCACATCTGGAGCAATGGTAGGGGGATCTAGAGACAAAACAGGACAAGACTGTCAGAGCAGACCAGGCACAGGGTTCTTGGAGAATGCAGAAAGAAGCCAGGGAAGGAAGGTTGGGTGAAGGGTCAGGAGCCCCCTCCCCACCTCATGAGGACTAACAAGAGGAATTGACTTGTCTGCAGCAGCAGGAACTAGAGTTAGACTCACTGAGGACTTCCTGGCAAAGGGGGAAATGAAAGGCTGGGGAAGGGCATGGGTTGCCTTCTTATATCATCTTTTCAGACTGAGAAGGGCACAGATTGGCCATAAATTCGGGGGTTTAGAAATAAGGCCAATCCCTTGGTACAGAGACTGCTGGACAGGGCAGGGCAGGGCTGGGCCTCACCCTGGACTGTTAGAGTGGCCTTGCTCTGCTGGTTGCCGGCCATAAAGGTGTACGTCCCAGCCTGGGTAACGATCACATGGGCAAGGAGGAGTCTGTGCACGAGCTCATCTTGCTCAAAGATGACCCCATCCTGGGCAGTGAGCTGGAGACAAGGGCCACAGAGAAAATGGTTACCTCTACCCCTACCCCACTCCTTATGGCCAACTAACTCAGGCCCTCTGCTAGTATGACAGCTGCACCAACTGAATGCTTATCGGTGTCATCATGTGCTGATCCTCTTCATCCTTAGTGCCTCGTTTAACTGTCACAACAACTTCATGAACTTGGTCCTATTAGTCGTCACATTTTGTAGATGAGGAATGCGCCCAAGGCCACCTAACTAGTAGTGGCAGAGTGTGGATATGCATCTATATCTGATTGGCGCCATGGTGGCGTATTTCCTCCTCAAATCTATGATGGCACAGAGTGGGGCTGTTCAGACTGATGAGTGAGCCCATCGGGTTGGGGTGGGAAGATGCCTTTGTACAAGGCCTTAAAGGATGGGCGTCATTCAGCAGGTGTGGGTATAGTAGAGGCATTTTGGATGGTGGGAGGAAAACGAGGAGCATGCCAATGATACAGATTGATTGATTGATTTGTGGTACTGGGATTTGAACTCAGGGCCTATACCTTAAGCCCTTTTTTTGAGATGGGTATTTCTCGAGATAGGGTCTTGTGAACTATTTGCCTCGGCTGGCTTGGAACCACGATCCTCCTGGTCTCTACCTTCTGAATAGCTATGATTACAGGCATGAGCCACTGGTGCCTGGCTAAATCTTTTTGTTTTAAACACACCAACTTGTTGGCTATTTAAACCTCTTCAAGGGTGGGTACGTTAGTAAAATGAAGAGTAAAAACAATCCTTCTTACAAAGCCTCTACCCTCTACTTTTCTGCTTTGCCACTGCCCCCCACCCACAACCCACATTGGTTGGTAAAGAGGTGTGAGAGTACCTTGACTCCATCCTTAAACCAGGTGCCAGGTCCCAGGTCACTGGTGAGGGTACAGGAGAGAGTGACATCTTCCCCTTGTTGCACCTCTGTGTCAGCCAGGCCCTGAGAGAAGTGGCCCATAGGGCCTAGAGAGACACAGAAGTCCCCAGGGCCCAGCTTCCCAAGCTCTGACTGCATTGTACCCTAGGAGGCCCATCATCCTTCTACTTGGGCTCAACCAGTGACAAAACCAAGCCTCCCACTTTTCTCAACAGAAGCTCAGCTGGTACAAAGATCTGAGGTGTAAGGTAGACAAAGAGGCCACCTGAGTCACACAGATGGGATGTCTGGCACCCACAGAGAGCTCTGGTACACTCTGGTACTTTCTGACATAGAGTTTTAAGACCAGGTACCTAGGAGACCTCACTCAGCCTGGATCCTATCTGCAAAGGGAGGAAGAGGTTGCTTCTTGAATTTGTAAGAGGTTCCAGAAATGGGGGCACTGGCAGGGATGGATTCCTGGGCTGGGAGTAGAATCGGGACTGACCAGGCACCCTAATGTCCAGGTTCCCCTTCCCGGCTCAACCCCCTGCTGGGAACACTTACCTTGGGCCTCCAAAGAGGGACTGCCAGTGCTGGGCTTGTTTCTGGATCTGTGACTCTGGGCGGCATTCTGTCCCTCATCACAGATGTCAGACCTGCCTTCTTTGACATCTCTCCTGCTGTCAAGATGCCTATGGGACCTCCAGATCCCATCTTCACTCTGAGTTTCCCTCAGATGCCTTCTGTCCTCACTGCCAGGGGACTCCTCTGTGCCCACTCTCTTTGCTGTTCCAACCTCAGCCCCGGTCTGCGCCTGAAACCTGCTCCTATGAGGACCAGGCCTCTTGCCTGACCCACCAAATTCTTCTGCTCCCAGCTTCTCATACTCCTTTAGGGTCCTAGGACATTGGGCCTTGCCATTCTCAGCCTCCAGGGGCCCTTGATCCCCGAGGGACCCCTTATCTCCTCCCTGTCCTTTGCCCAGTTGAGAGCCTGAGTCCTGGATCCCTTCTGATCTGCCTCCAGAGCCTTTTCTGCTAAGTGGACAACCTAAGTTATTCCAGGTTCCCTGATGTCCTGATGTCCCAGGTTCTAGGGTGAGGCCAGTCCCCCACTCAGTGAAATTCCCTTTCCTTAGGATACCTGAGTCCTCTGCACCACCATATGTGCCCCTTCTAGGACCTGAAACTTGTCTCTCCAGGGACCGTGTGCCTTCACCAGCGGCCCCCTGGCCTTGTGCATTTATCCCACCTCTAGGGCTCCCTGGCCCCTTCTGAGTTCCCCCAAAAGTGTCATCATTTACCTGTAGAGAACTAGAAGCCCTGGAGCCTGAGAGCTGCTTCCCATCACTGATGCTGCCTTGGCCAAACCTCTGTTCTTCCCAGCCTGGGGCCCAGGCATGGCTCAACCCTTGTCCATTGTCAGGCCCTGATGTTGACTTACTCCTTCCCTCACGTGTAGAGCTGATGTCTACAATCTGGCCTGCCCTGAAGGAACTCCCAGAATCTGCACCCATATTTCTGCCTCCCATCAATGAGTCCCCAGCTCCCTGAGGTGCCGCTGCCCGCTGGCCAGCAACTCTATCCCTGTCTGCTGGTTCTGAGGCTGCTTTCTTGTCCCATTCACATCCAGACTCCTGAGCAGCTATCCTTGTCCAGGTTTCATCTGCTATTGTTCCCCTACAATCAAGAAGGCTAGAAGCCCTGTTAGCCCCTGCTTGGCCTGTAGATCCACGCTCCCCACTGACAGCTCCTCTGTCCCTAGGAGATTCTGGTATCCCTGAACCATCTTGCCACTCTCTGACACCTGGTTTTCCCATGGAACTAACAGCCTCCAAGGCTTCAAGCATCCCTGAGTTTCCATAGTCCCCCAAACTATTCTTGGAGCCCCACCCATCTGAAAAGGTCTGTGTCTCTCCCTGCATCCCCATTGTCCCTGGGCCAATGAGCCTGTCCCTGTGTGCTGCCCTATCTGCAGTGCCCAGTGTTCTAGCCAGCCCAGAGCCTACCTCAGGCCCTGCTCCATCTGCAAGCCCCATTCCTCTACTCCTCTCTGAACCATCCTTAGAGCTTGTGGCACCTGCTGAGGCTGTCCCATGTCCTGACTCAGGCCCCATGGCTTTGTGGTCTCTGGGTCCAGCCTCATGCTTCATTCTAGCCAGTGAGCCCGGTCCTCCAACCCTCCTTGAACCATCTCCATCGCGCAGCTCACCTTCTGCCCCTGTTTCCTTAGATCCTCCTGAGCCTCCGCTATGACCAGCCTCGCTCCCTGACCCCATTTCCCCAGCTCCCCCCAGGCTGTTCCTAAAACCTGCTTCACTCCATGACAAAATGTCCCCAGAATGCACCAAAGCACCTCCATAACCTGCTTCACTCTCTAATAGAACTGTCTCAGAAACCCCAGCACCATTTCTATAACCCACCTCACCCCTTGACTCCATGCTACCAGAACCCCCAATACCATTCCTATAACCTGCTTCACCTCTTAACCCCATGTTATTCAAACCTCCAGTACCATTCTTGTAACCAGCCTCAATGGCCCCAGAACCTCCAATACCATTCCTATAACCTTCCTTACCCCCTGGCCCCATGGCTCCAGAACCCCCAATATTATTCTTATTACCTGCTTCAACCCCTAACCCCATGTCACTAGAACCTCCAATACCATTCCTATCTCCAGCCTCACTCCTTGACCCCATGACCCCGGAATCTCCTATTCCATTCCTATAACCCGTCTCACCCTCTGGTCCCATGGCTCCAGAACCCCCAATACCATTCTTATAACCTGCCTTATCTTCTAGTCCCATTCCTTTGGAGCCTCCTGAGCCATCTCTAAAGCCTGCCTCAAGCCCTGGCCCTGTTCTCCCAGGTCCAGGACCCCTTGACTCTCCTCTATAAGCTGTTCCATCCCCAGTTCCCTGAGGTGCTGGAATTTTAGGTCCATCCCCATAACCTACTACATTACCAGACCCGTGAGCCCACTGACTCTCAGAACCAGCCCCAGCACGAGGAGCTAGAGCTTCAGGGTACCTAGTATTTCCCCAATACCCAGTTCTAGCTCCAAGGAACCTGGTCCCATCTCCATCACCTTCTTTGCCCTTTGCCTCCAGAGACCCTGGATCCATGGCTTCTGAACCACCAGCACTATCTTCATAGCCCTCTTCTCCTAAGGCCCCCAGGGCCCCTGTGGCTCTGATGCCCCCATAATCTCCGGTCTGACTCCAAGACCTTATTCTTCCAGAGGCCCCTGGTTCTGTTTCCACATGTCCTTCCCCAACAGTCTCCATTGTTTCAAAGGCCTTGAGACCACCTCTACCCATAGACCCCACTGCTCCAGAACTCCCTAAGTCACCATCAGAACGGTGCCCAGGGCCTGTTTGCCCCTGGCCTCTGGATGCATTCCAATTCCAGACTTCATCCATGGGCATTCCATCTGGGCCACCTGAGTCATTCCTGAGACTGGCATCTCTCCCAGACCCCCTTCCTACAGGACCACAATGATCTTTGTTTCTGGACCATATTCCCCCAGAAACCCCTGAACCCTGCAGGTAAGTAGCCCCTTCCTCAGGCTCTGTTCCCACAGATACCCCAGAGATGACTCTATGACCAGCACCATGACCTGTTTCTCCTGGCACCCCTGAGCCTTCACTATAAGCATCCCCATTTCCAGGACCTATTCCTCTAGAATACCCTGAGCCATTCCCATGCCTAGGTTCCACTCTTCCTGACCCTCCTAAGCCATATTTATAGCCCATCTCACTTTTGGATCCTTTTCCTCTGGAGCTCCCTGACCTATTCCAGAAATCTGATTCAGATCCAACAGTCCCTGAATCTCCTTTCATGTCACTTAGTATCCTCCCAGATCCCTGATCACCCAGACTCGAAGACCTGACTTGCCTGTGGCTTCTGGTATCTCCTCCTTGGCTAGACTCCATCTGCCAAGTTGCCTGGGCACTATCCATATCCTCTTCCCCTCCAGTGGACCCCAGCACTCGGTTCCCTAAGTGGGCCCCAGTCTTTTTGAGACTGGACCATGTGTCACCCTGAGAATCTGTGCTCTCAGACTCTATTCTGGGCTCCCCTGCTCTCCTCTGCCTTGCTGTCCAGCTCTGGGGAGACTGGAGGCTTTTGGAGCCATTCCCTATCCCTCTCAAGGCCTCAACTGTGTCCTGGTCATCTCTTCCCTGGACCTCTTGTAGACCACCTCCCCAGTCCATGGAATCTCCTAGGCTTCCAGGGCCAGTTTTGAAATCCCTTCCTCTAACTATAGTTCCCAGCCCCTGACCATCTGTTCCATGCAGGGAGCCCTCTGCTTTGGCCTCAGGACCCTTGCCCCCTAGGAGAAGTTTATTGTCTGTGGATAGTGAGTCCTGGAGGTACTTGCCTCCAGATGTCTGTCCTGGATACTCCCCTGACTCCCAGTAGCCTCTGGCTTCCCCATGGTCAGTATCTCTACCTCCCTGAGAGCGCCAGGACTCAAGGCCCATGCCTGCTTGGGAGCTATAATGTCTTCCTCCAGGGAGCTCTGAGGTGTGAGGGTCGCCTGCCCCATGGCTGTCTCCAGCTTCTCCCAAGCTGATTCCAGTAGCCCATGCTGCCCTTGCTGTTACTCTCTCCCTTTCCCTACTCAGGCCATCCTCTCCTTCCATCTCATCCACATAGTTGCCCTGGAATATCTCCTTCCACTCCCCTTTGAGCTGAGACTTCTCAGGATCAGATTGGGATCCTGACATGGTCCTCTTTCCTGTCCCATGTTCCAGGTGAGTATCACAGAGTTGTCCCTGGTCATGTCTGTCCAGTTGGCTGCCATTGTCCTCTCCGGGCTCCTTTCCTTCCCTTCTGTTCCCCATTTCTCCAGCCTGAGGGTGATTGGACCTGACCTCCCAATTTCCAACTATCCCCCAGCTTCTATCACCATCACTGTCTCTGCCATAACCTTGCTGTTGCCTTTCCACAGGAGCCAACCCTCTGCCTGATTCTGGGCCCTCTCCCTGTAGGTGGGGCCTCCCAGGAAGGTTTCCACTCCAGTCTCCCTGTTGGTGGGACTGATTGTTTCCAGAAAGAGTGGCTCTGCCTCCCTCTGCTTCTAGAAAGCCCTTTCTCTCTTGCCCAGTGCCCCTGGCTGAGTCAACTGTCATTTCATCCCCCATCAAGGAGTAGCCATGATTGCCAAAGCCACCTGCATCTGGGCCCATTGTGAGCTGGAGCCCAGAAGCCAGCCCAGTCCCTGGAAGGGAGCTCTCCAGGGGGCTCTGCTCTCTGAGTTTCCCTCCCTTGCCACTGATATCCTGGAGTCTTCGGCATCTGAAGTCTGAGCAACTTGTGTCTGCAGCTGGTTGTCACCTGTGGTCTGCAGGCCTTTATCCTTTCCAGCTTCAGTGAGGTGTTATCCAATTGGGAGGTCATTGCCCCCACAGAGAGACAAGAGAAAAGACCAAAACCCCTGTTAAAACAGGCCAACCTACTTGACCCATCTACTTTGGCTGCCTCTCAGTTTCCCCTGTGGAGAAGCAAGCTAAGCATCTGGGAAGGAAACCAGGATGTTCCAGCACATTGAGAGAAATTCTATCACCACTTCCCCCTGTCCCATGCCCCACAGGCCACCTGACCCTTATGTATTTTGATATATAAATACATAAGCTAAAAGTCATTTGCTTGTCAAACGGCCATCAACAGTTGCATGATTTTAAAAAGATCTACTTTTCTTACTGCCTACCTTCCATGTGTCCAATTTACAGTCTCCTGGGATCATCCTGAACTCAGAACTCAGTTCACAGAGGTTTAAGTGCTCTCTGTTCTGGCCCAGGGACTTCTCATCTACACTACCTCAAACCCTTTCTAGAATCCTAGGGCCATCTTGGATCTGTGGCCCCAGAGTGGTTCCAAGAGGCCCAGTGGAGCAGACACAGCTGAGGAGGGCTGACCATGCTATGAAGAGACTACATTGTAATGGATCAGGAATAGATCAGAGAAGCCTTCTGCATTCTCTCCAAGTGAGGGAACCATTCAAAGCAAGTGATCAACTGACCAAAGGAAGCCCCACTTTCTGGACCCTGAGGCTTTGCTTTGGTGGAGGCAGGGAAAGGCAGAGAGGCCACTCACCTTCAACCACCAGCCAGGCACTGGAGGTGTGGAGCCCAGTGCTCAGCGAATAGAGGCCCATGTCTGAGAAACGGGCCCCCCTCACCACCAGCCGGTGGGTCAGCCCATCGGGGGACACAAACACTTCATATTTGTCATTAAGCCGGAGTGGCCGGTGTTGGAAATGCCAGACAGCGGTGGGGCAGGGATTGGAGAGACTACATTCAAAGACTGCATCTCCTTGTTCTTCACAGCGGGCCTCAGTCAGTGGGACCACCACTCTGGGGGGAATGGCTGCCAGGAAAGCAGGAATGGGTGTGTCAGCTTAGTAGTATGACACAGTGAGACCTGATGCAGTAGGGCTAGGGGCTCAGAAACCCAGGTTCAGACCAGCTTGCCACAGCTCCCTTGTCACACGTGTCCTTACATGGGTTATAAGTGCCCCCCACACCCCTAAAACGGGGGATTATAATTAGGTCAGCAAGACTGTTTTCAGATCTAGAATTCTCAAGCCAGAAGTTCTGTCTGGGGGTGAAGTGGGTATGAGAAGGAAACTAGTACTGGTATATAGTAATATATCAGTATATCTACTAATCCTTATGACCATCTCCAAGGTAGATAGTATTAATTATTTTTTTATAAGTGAGGAAACAACTTGTACCAGTCTGATGCAGCTAAGAGGTGGCTCAGTCAGGATTCATACCTGGGTCTGGCTGACTCCAAAGCCTGGGCTCCTCTGCTCACACCACACTGTTTTCAAGCCCATCCAAGCACCCTGCTAGATGCCTTTCCCCCTTCTCTTTTCTGAATCTGGATTCATTCATCTACGTTCTTTACCATCTATCTGCCCAAGGCTTCCTTCCCAGGCCTGCCCTTGTCTTTCCAAGAGTCCCCTGGAGCTATCAAGTACTTTGGAGTAATGTGGACACCGGTCCTCAGAAGTATGAGGCAGAGTGCCATGAGGGAGGAAGGGCAGCTCCCAGGGAAGAGGGCACAGGAAGCTGGGAAGAAAGAGGCCTGTGCAGGAACAGTTGTGCCAAACCTGGGTAGGGCTTTTAGCTAGGGAGTTGTGGAAGAGGAGGGCATCAGTCAGGAGTGAACTTATGGCAAGAGGCTGTGAAACTAGTCTGGATCTGATCTGAAAATAACTGGTTATGACAAAAGGTCTGTGAGCAGGGACATGACATGTACGTTCTGTGTCCATAACTATAATTCAGTAGAGCCCACCTGGGCACTAACAGAAGACAAAACCTGAGTGTGTACCCCTCTACCCAGTTGTCTCTACAACGGAGCCATGTCTTGTTTGTATGTCTTCCCACCACAGCACCAGCATGGACCTCACTCCTAACCTCTCCTCCTGCAAACTCTGCAGAGAACAGCACCCACCATGGGCCTCCAGCTCCGTGGAAAAGACCACAGCACCCTCCACCATGACCTGGTAAAAACCAGCATCCTCAGGCCGCAGGTCCTGAATCTGGAAGTTGTAGCGTTTCCCCAGTCGCCGCAGACAGTGCTTGGTCTGGTTGTTGAAGCCGTAGGGAATCATCTCACCATCCTGAACCCAGGAAAGGAAGAAGGGCGGTTCAGACACCTGTGGGTTCCTTCCTCAGCTCCACTCTAGCTACGATCAGTTTTCTCCCGACAACATAGACCATAAAGAGCACAGAGGGGCAGGGTAAAGAGCAGGCATTGCCTGCTTTACCAAGGGATTAAGGGGTGGGTAGGAATACATGCTCCAGAAATGTCCACGCCTCTTACCATGGAATGGAAAAGTCTATAAATGTTATGTAAAGAGGCATCTGAGATTACCAACCCAGGTCCTGCTGGGAAGAGACGTACTACTGGTATAGCCCCGAAGGTTAGCAGGGGAAGCAGCAGGGATGTCTCTGGCCCAGGACCCCAGCTCATTCATTTAGCAAGTGGAACATTCAGTGAATATCTTTAAGGATCTATACAAGCCAGTTCTTTATACATATACACAATTTTCCAACACCCTGCATAGATTTGCTACTTGCTGAATATTACAATAGCTTCCAATTAACAGGTGCTACTGTGTGTCAAGCACTATTGTAGGTACTTGGGACATACCAGTAAATAAAGCAAAGATTCCTGCCCAAAATCCTTTGGGGGAGACAGACAAATAATAAGCATCATAAATAAGTAAAGAGTTTAACAGAGAAGAAAGGATTCAGAAGCATCAGGGTGGAGTGGGGACATATGGTATGGCTAGGAGGTGTCACTGCAGGTGAGGGAATTAGTCACTTGGGTGTCAGGGAGAAACATGCCAGGCACAGGGAGTGACTGGAGGAGCAAAGGATCAGGGAAAAGGTCAGGGTGGCAGGAATAGAGAGGCAAGGGGAAGAGGAGTAGGAAGGAAATGGGAGACCAGGGGAAAGGTAGATGATGCATGGTCTCACTTGGCATTTCATCACACTAAGACAGCTCTTGGGTTGCCCCCACTTCATAAATGAAGAAACTGAGGCACCAGGAAGGTAAGCGTCTTGTCTGAGGCCACTCAGTTTATGAGATAAAGCCAGGATGAATTTGGTTACAGAACTGCCAATGTCACACTTTGTCACCCCCAACCACACTCACCTGCCTTGTCTCACATGGTCGATAGGTAATTACTCCTGGATCCCAGGTAGGGGCAGGTTGTCTCTGAGTGGGAGCTCAGATAGGAAGAGATGCACTTTCTTGGAACTCTCTCTCTCTCTCTCTCTTTCTATCCCCTGCTCTGATGTTAGACACAGTCTGCATAGATGTAGGCTAGAGGGTGTGGTGACTCAATACTCAATGAGAGGTAAAGGGTTCCTGTGCACTGTCCATCCAGGATCTGATCTAACTCAACCAGGAACTCCATGGGATGGGTTTCCCTCCAGGACCTGCGGTCTCCCTGCCCCATACCTTGCCCATGCCTTCTCACCTTATACAAGTAAATCTTGCTCTCAAGGTCCTTGAGATCCAGTTCCAGGTCAAATGTGGCGACTCCATCCTTGGTGACCCTGATGTGTCTCAAGTTGAAGATGGCATTGACATACTGAAAGGCAGACAAACCCTCAGGAGGGCCTGAACAGGCTCTGGTCCCATCCTTGCCCCACAGTGTCCCAGCTAAGCAAGCATTTGCCTATTTCACAAGTGAAGAGACTTAAGTTCCTCATGGAAGGAAATTCTCTCAGATAAGAGATCAGGTCAGGAAGGCAACCAGGTACTGTGAGAACATGCTAGGGGGTTTCTGTTCATCTCTTCTTCCAGCTAATAAATATTCGTTGAGCACCTACTGTGTGCAAAGCTCTGTGCTGGTCCTGTGTCAAAGCAGATGAGAAAGTTTGGAGAAGGAAAAAATTGAGGCTGTAGGTGGGAGGCTGGAAGAACTATCACCCAAGTGATAAAATACTATTTTCAGAATAATGAAAACTAGTTTTTCATTTCAAGAAGAAAAATTAGAATTAAGTTAGCCACAGGAAAGAATTACCTGGATGGTCTATAAGATGCTGGAATCAGGGTGCTAATGGCAATTAGCCATTTCAAGGGAAATTCCCTTCCTTGAAAGTCTTTAGAAATAAGTCTGGTACCCAGTCTGGTGATGAAGAATATGAGGATGACATGATGGTGACGATGATGAAGAGGATAACACATTGTAAGGCCCTCACAACGTGTTTATACGTAACTGGCTACTTGCTGTAAGTACATTCTCTTATTCGTCCTCTCAATAACCCCATAAGGTAGGTGTGACTATAATCCCCATTTTACAGAGAGGAAACCAAGGCACAGAGATTCTGACTTTTCTAAAGCACATTTAGTAAGTATCAGACCCAGGTTTCAAAGCCTGGTGCCAACTCGGAAGCCTCAGTCCTTAGCAAGATCCCTCTGGGGGGCAGATGGAGGCAGGGTCTCCACCATATTAGATTTCTCAAGGCCTGCCTTTGAGGCCAACTCCAGGTGTGAGCCACCCCCTCCCAGGGTTCTGTGCCCTGGGGGTGAGGTACAGGGGCAGGAAAAGGGTACCTGTGCCATCTTGTCCTCCCGCTCCTTCTTCATCTCTTGCAGCTTGCGCAACATGCCCCGGAAGTCGACGATGCCATACTTCATACAGATCTTCTCATAGTCCTTCCGGTCTGCTGTCATCAGCAGCTGCCATACCTGCTCAGAGTCCATCTTTTTCTCAGGGGCTGGAGATGGGGCCCTGGGGAGCAGGCCAGCAGGTCAGAGACCAGAGGAGCCCAAGTGTTGGCCATCTGGCTCTGGTACTCTGAGCAGTCCAGGTAGCTGCTGTATGTGCACTTGAGGACACAGACACAGGGACTGGAATCTCTGGGATTGACCCCTGTCTCAACTTGAAGGACTCAGAGATGGGAGGGGCAAACCTCACCCAGTAGCTCCGACTTTCAAGAGAAACTCTGCCCCTAACAACGCATGCTGTTGATTTCTGAATAGGACGTCTTCAGGTGCGGTTGGGATTCGGGTTGAATTATTCTGTTGTTCTAGTTGCTCTAGTAGGCCCCCCATTTTGCAAATGAGATTAGTACCCAGAGGGAAGAAAGGACTAATTCACGGATACGGAGCTTTCTAGTGGCCGAGTTGGATCCCGAATTCCCAGTTCATAGCTCTTCCCATCCTCTCATCTGCTACCTCCCTGCTTGTGTAGGAGGTAGAAGTGGGGGTCAAGTCCAGCTTGCTTATGGAAGGAATCTGGGGTGGTGTAAAGGGGTGGGTCCCATGGGAATGTCCAAACTCTTCCATGGACTGGCCCAAACCCACCTCTTTTTCAGCATCTTCCGGAAGTCCACCAACTCCTTTCTGAGGTCTAAAAAAGGAGAAGGAATGAGGCCCCAGCCTCACAAGGCTCTTCTGCGTGGTTCAGGGCTGACAACCAAACTTTTGAAAGGGGCTCTCCTTCAGTTTGATTATGCCCCATAGGTGTGTATGTGTGGCGGGGGGAATCAACCAGTCGGGGAGCACCAGGCAAAGAAGAGTCTGTCCCCCCAAGGCCTTAACGGGAATTCCGACTTACCCTCCTGGGGTTCCTTTTGCCTCTTCCGGTTCTTCCGAAAGCCAACTGGACCATCCAGGAAGGAGAGGAAGGAGTTGATGTGGACAGGCAAAAGGAGAGGCAAGATACATTGATGATCTTCCTGAGAAATCCACTGAATCCCAGAGCCCTCACCACCCCTACCCCCTAAGGCATGGCAACATTCTAGCAAGCAGCAGGGAGCAGAATGGATTTGTACCCGTCAGGAACTTTGGTACCTCTAGAGGGAAAACAGCCCTATCACCTCATGAGGGGGGGAGGCCCATTCACACATATACAAGGGCCAGAAAGGTGGCATGAATGAGTGAAGTGGCCACTGGCAACCACAACAAACTGAAGAGCATCTAAAGAAGAGTTATTTTTCAATGCACTTGAGAGTTGCCATTTCAGGACATGCACCCACTGTGGCCAAATATGTCACAAATTGATGTTTGGCTGCTCCTGCAGGCATTCACAATCTTCTTCTTCATCCTCTGTATCCACTAGAGAGGCAGGAAAAACTAAACACTTGCCTTCCCAGCTTCCCTTGCAATTAGCAGTGGTCATAGGATACAGTTCTGGCCAATGAAACATAGCAAAAGCCCCCAGGAGTTTCTGGGAAAGCTCTGCTTCCTTGATAAGAGAGGCAGATGTCCCTTGGGCCACCTGTCTTTCCTTTTCTTCCTGCCTTGAGCATGGGTTACGTTTGGGTCTGCAGCAGTTGTCTAGGACTGTGAAGTGATCAGCCAACCTGTTCAAGATGGTAGGATTGTGAGACAGGAAGAATCCAGCACTCCTATGACAGCCCCGAGCTGTGCAATGAGCCCTGGACTCCAATCTCAGGGCCTTTTCCTATGTGAAGTAGTTAAATATGTTTATTTCTTGGGCTGCTCTTACTAGCATTTTCTGTTACTTGTAGGCAAACCAGTTGTAAGCATAGCTAATTGAGAAACCTGATTTGCTTTCTCAAGAGGACCTTCCAATTATTATAAGCTGACAGTTTTTTAAAAATTCATATACTATGCAAACCAAACAACATGCATCTGAGATAGGAATTACCCTTTGTGTTGCATGTTTATCTGCTCTGATGTAGGCCTGTGCAAAAATATCCTTTGTACAATGGAGAAACTGAGGCCCGGAGAGGAAAAGGAAGCAAGTTAGCAGATGATCCAGGACTAGAAACCAACTTCCAGGTCCTGACCTTCCTCAGAGCATTTCAACAGGGTGTCTGCCAAAGGTGGGCCTTATCAGTTATGGGTAGATTAAGTGCGAGAGTGGATGAAGCCAGGGCTTTGGCATCTGGTCAGACAGCAGCAGCCAGCAGCAGCAGCGTTGGTGGTCCTCCCTCTCCTCCCACCACCATTCTCTTAGCCTCTGATTCCTCTGAGGCCTCTGAAAAATGCTCTGTGCACTGAAGAGACAGACTCAGGGACTAGCCCACCTTCGATGACAGTGAGCCTTGCCGAGCACGTAGCCTCTCCATACTTGTTCACTGCTATGCATCGGTATAGGTCTGTGTCCTCACCCGTCAGTTTGTTAATCTGCAGAGAGGCCAAGGGCAAAGGACAGGACTAGCAATTCCCCTTCCTCCGTTTACTTGACATGGCTGTGAGTTGGGGCCATAAAAAAGAATAGCACACAGTACTTGTTCTGTTGGAACCCAGTCTTTATCAGGAAATACAGACACCCCCAAAAACCTGAATCAGGACAGAGCAAGGGCAAATGTTCACACCATCAGAGATCATGTGGAGTAACAGAAAGGGCTCACTTTGGGGATCAGATGGATCTGGAACTGAAAATCTCTGTCATCTATTTTAGTTGTGGAACCTTGGTCAAGTTACCTAACCTATCTAAACTTCAGTTTCTTCACTTGTGACAAAAAATATTGAATGATCAGGATTAAATCATATAATTCATACTAAATGTTCAACAGCCTAGGTTCTGGCACATAGGAGGCATCCCATGACTAGTGAATATGTAATGTTACCAATATTAGCTGGCAGATTGGCTCGAGTGGTAGAGCACCTGCCTAGCAAGCGTGAGGCCCTGAGTTCAATCCCCAGTAGCTCCAAAAAATAAAAAATAAAAATTTACTAATACTAACCAAGACTGGTTGAAAGTGCAGATGCTCTTGATTTGTGGTAGAGGTATGTCCCAATAAACCTACTGTAAGTTGAAAATCTAATTGAAAATGCATTTAATACACCTAATAAATATACTTCAGTAACATCATTACTCAGCTGGGCCTACCTTAAATTTGCTCAGAGCACTTCCATTAGCCTAGGAGTTGGGCAGAATCCTCTAACACGAGCACACTTTATAATAAAGCGTTGGCTTGCTCATGTAATTCGTGAATGCAGTACATTGTAGCGCGATCACAAATAATGAGGAGATGCAGCTTGCTCTTCCTGTCCAGCATGAGCATTGCACTGCATATCACCAGCCCAGGTGATGAAAATACGAAATTCAAGATTCAAAGTACAGGTTCTAAACTTCTTTTGAACCCCACAAAGTCAAAAATCACAAGTTAAATTCATTGTAATTCAAAGACTGTCCATACCAGGGCCAGGCACTGGCTGGATACTTTACACAAATCTTTAATCCTCATAACGACTGATTAAAGTAGGTACTACAATATTATCAGCCCTTTCCCAGATGAGGAAACAGAGGTAGAAAGAGGGAGGCAATTTTCTAAAACAAAGTGGTGATTTAGGATTATAACCCTGATAGTCTGACTTCCCTGCTCGATCTCTTCTGCTCTAGTTAGGTGACATCCAGGCTGCTGGCAGAGACATCTGCAAACCTGCCAAATCCAATCCTGACTCATGCAACCTTGAGCCATGGGATGGAGTTGAATGGGCTCAAACTTCATCTAAGAATATCTCTTAGTCATCTGGGGATTGGAGACCACCAAGAAGACCTTCAATGCTGGGTGCCAGTGTCTCATACCTGTAATCCTAGCTACTCAGGAGGCAGAGATAAGGAGAATCTTGGTCCAAAGACAGCCCAGCAAATAGTGCGTGAGACCGTTTCTCGAAAAAAACCCATCCCAAAAAGGGATGGTGGAGTGGCCTAAGGTGTAGGCCCTGAGTTAAAACCTTTATCCTCCCACCAAAAAAAGAAGGACTTCAAGGGGATGGGAAGAGATGGGTGGCTCCTGGGCAGAGAAGCCTTGCTACTTACCTGTAGCATGTGCTCCTTGCTGCCAGGGGTGGAGGAGATCTGGTACTTGCTGCAGTTGCTGAGCTCTCCTTTGGCACTTTGCCAGTGCACCTCGGGTCTAGGCTCCCCACAGACCACTGCCCGAAAAATGGCATTCTTCCCTGCAACAGGAAGAGGCAAGCAGGGAGACGGACAAGTTGGAGGTGGTGTGACAGTGAACATTATTGAAATTTTCATTTATTCATCCTCTCTGCTCTAGATATTTCAACTGCTTATTCCAAAAAGGAGACTGCTAAGCCTTAGTCCTCTTGTCTTAGGACTCCTAGTGTCAGGTGGAGAGTAACAGTCTCCAGGCACCAGAAAGTGGTGCTAGCCTGGCCTCTGTAATGCAGAGGACTAGTCTCCTGAGGGAAAGATGTGGCTAGATTGCTCTGAGTGAGGGAGGCAGACAGGACTGGGGTGGGAGTGTATAAGGAAGCAGAAGGACTCTCCCAAAACTGGGGAGTGAATGAGATTTTGTGGGTTCTGTTCCTATTCTACAGGAGAAAGGGAAATAACAATCTTGGGAAGGGATGGCTATTTGGTGCCCAAAGAAACTCACCCTGAGACACAGGACCCCAGCTTCAAAAAAGACCCCAAGCTCATGTAGCAAAGAATGACTGGTAGCTGCTCACCTTCACAGAGCCCCAGAGCTTCTCACCAGGGAAGCAATATGAACTGAAGGGCCCAGGGCCTTCCTCAAGTTCTAGTGACCTTGTTTCTGACTTAGAAAAATCAAGTCTGGTACCATTAGTTTTTCTTATACCAGAATGTTGTGGATTAAAATGTATGGCAGGGGCCTGTGTTGGTGGGGGGAATACCAAACCTTACCCAACAACCTTCATTCCCACCACTTTCCCAGGTACTTTTGTCCTTGGCCTTCCAGAATGGGCTTCCTGAACCTAGCCTGTGAGCCACTGGGCATTTGATTGAATGGGACAGGTTGGATAAGAGGTTTTGACAGCACCTTTCTTCAACTATGGCTTTGAGGTAAGGAGCAGGGGAAAGAGGGACTAGGCAAGACCACAACCTTCTCTGCTCCCCAGGTTAGTATTTCCTGCCCTTGTTCCAAAACCTTTCTTACATTAGCTCTTTCCCCATTCTTCTCCCCAGATTCCTTGTCCTTTCTAGGTATAGGAGGAAGACATGACATAGTCTGGTGATGGATGTAGGGCCTGGGTGCCCAGGAAGGTAAGTGGCCAAACCCTCTGCGTTGTGCATGCTGGGAGTTGGGAGAGCAGGAACCATGCCTCCTTCAGCAGTGCCCTCCAGCGTCTCACCCTCCTGCAGAGCCAAAGTGACAGGCTTCTGCCGGAAGCCCGGTGTGCTGCAGCCTTCAGGGATCTCCTCCACCAGCTGTCTGATGCTCACCCCAGGCATGGAGGACTTCTTCAGTGGCTTCTCTGCAGAAGGTGGGAGAGAGATAGAACTGGGTCCTGACCCTCCCTCTCCCGCTCTTGACTGTCCTTCAGCAGATAAGCATCCATCTACTCAGCCAGGGAGCCAGGCCCCTTCACTCTCCTACAGCTGGGGCAAAGTTGTAGGGTCTAGCAAATGGTGCTTTCTAACTTTCTAGTGAGAATGTAGTGGTGGGCCTCTGGCTGTGTGAAAAGAGCCCTTAGAAAATGGCAGGGAGTGCCCTGGGAAGACACTGAGTTCATCACAAGAAGAAATCTGGGAAAGGGAGAGTAAGAACGGCTCCTCTCAGGCAGTAGGAATTCATGTGGGGGCTTTGCACCCTTTACTCAGGAAAAAAAAAAATCAAAGCTCAAAGCCAAAACTGAAAAAAGCAAAGACCAGTGAGTTCCCAAAGATCTCTGGCTTCTGCCCCTTCCCCCATCTCTACCTTGGTGGGGAACACCAGCTGGGCTGGGGCTTGGAGGGGTGGTTCCATCTTCTCTTACCTGCCATACTTCCGGCTTCTCCTTGGCTCCTCTGAGGGTAGAAATTGATCTCCTGAGGATGGAAGATGAAGTACTTCTAAGAGGTCCATGTTAGTCTCAGCCCAACCCTCCCACACCATCTGTGCATGAGCCAATGTCTAGGGTGGATACTGGGAAAAGCTGCTGTCCCCAAAAGTGTGCCTATCCCCCAAGAATGACCCTGATTGGTTTCTTGCAATTCCCTGGTTCCAGCAAACTAATTTCCCAGAGACCAGGGAGGAAGTAGGTTGTTGCCCAATTAGTACCTTTCCTAGGTAAAGGAAACCACGGTGCTGAACCTGTATGCTGCGCTGGTGACTTGGCCCCTTGGTGGGACCCAGGCCCATGCCAGTGAGAAGGAAAGACACAGCTTTCTCAAACCTGGGAAAACCAGTCTCATTCAGGAGTCTTCCAGCTGTTTAACAGCATTGCCCCCTTGACTTTGGAAAGTGGATTCTCTAGGGATACTCTCCAGCCTCTTGGCTCCTCCCTTAAACCTGAAATCTAGCAGAGCCCAACAGCCCTCTGTCTCCCATCTTCAATCTGAATCCTTCAGATCCCAAGGTCCGCAGGGCAAGTCCCTGACAGGAAGACTCCTAAGCTCTTCTCTACCCAGGTCAATGGGATCACCATAAATCCATCTGCTCCCCTCTGAGCAAGTAAATTATAGTATCAGGTGAACCCAAGTGTTCCCTAGCCTCTCCCAAGCACCACCACTATCTGTCTGAGTTCCTCTCAGTCGTATCCATCTGTTATAGCCAATGGCAAATCCCACACAAGAGAGGGAGAGGGGTTGGCTTTAGGGTAGGATAAGAGGTATGAATGGGTTGGAGGGAGTCTTCAAAGAATTCTCCAGCAATCCCACATCCTATGAGTTTGGCCTGTGGCCAAGAGGTTCTATTTGGGGGATTCCATTTCCTGTCCAAAGAGGCCAGCCATCAGTATAGAATCACACATGACAGCAAATTCCTCCTTCCAACTGATACGCTTCCATTTCACAACTGCCCACCCACTGGCTCATCCTGCTCTGGTGTGTCCCCTCTTGCAGCCCAGTTGCTGCCCCCCAGTGTGCTGGAATGCCATGGTCTGCCAAATGCGTTCTGGAGCGGTCAGTGGCACCACAGGTGCCACAGCCGTTGTGCTGAAGGTAGTCACAAGGAAGGGTGGGAGGGGGGATAGTAGCAATGAGGAGTACCCAAGCCACCATGCTGGGGGAGGGGGACACCGAAACTTCCAACACACCCTCCCCCAGGACAGTCATTTTTCAGGGTAAACACATTGGCACCTGGCCATGACCCCCACACTGGAGTAGTTTAAGCTCAACACAGCTATCTTTGTCACCATCTTCATCATCATCATCAGCAGCAGTTATCAAGGGATTACTCTACTATTTATCTGTCACACATGAAGTATAATTCAGACACCAGCTCCTCCCTTAGTCCCCTGCCTACAGGTTCAGTTGGAAAGTGAGAGAACCCTGGGGAGGGAGCTTAGGGGTCCGATGTTATCTGCCTTATCCACTGTACCTCCTTCCTCTTTAGGAACAAGCTAGATAGAGTGCAAAGTCAACGACAAATGGGTAAGCGGTCTGTTTGGTCGGAGAAGGTGATGGAGAAGGAAATGAAATCTTTCCTCCATGATTCATTCCCATATTTGAGAAGAATCTTAACTTTTCTGAGCAAAAGCAGCAACTTGTGTCCTCACTTCTGCCTATCCCAACAGAAGCTCAGCCCTGGGCTGTGTCTCCCTGGCCTCTCTCCAGGACCCATGGCTCTCCTACCTTCTGCCCCTAGCTGCTGTTCCATTCTGTGGAGCCAGCCCTCTACTACCTCCAACTTCTCAAGTGGTAGGAAGGTCCAAATGGAGTTTCTCTCCATTGCTTTGACCATGTCATTAATCAAGATGTAACAAGTCCCAGTTCAGAGGTAGCTATTCTGAACTGCTAGTGTGTCTTATCATACTCTAACCCAAGCAGTGCCTGGAAAATCAGGGCCAGGGCAGGACCAACTGGACAGGACTCACTGAAATTCTCATCTCTAATACCCTGGAATTGTCCAGACATGGCATATATGTACCCCAACATATGACCAGCCAGTCTGAGAATGTTCCTGGGGTTTATCTCATACCCTATATGCCCCTTCCTGAGTAGAATGTTAGAGAATAGGCCAATGTCTCCATCTCTGCCCTCCCTGGCTTGGATGGGCAACCAGGTCTACAATGCCCACTTACCTGGGTACACTACCAACCTCCTGTCCAGTCCCTCCTCCCTGCTTCCAGCTGCTGTTTGAAACCAGAGGCTCTGAGTCTGGTGGTGGACAGGCAGTGCTGGAGCAGATGTAGGTCACTACCCAGAGCCTCTCTCCCTCTGCTCCTCCCACTCACCCCGCCTCCCTCCTCTTCTAGACCAGGATTGGCAGGGCAGGGCCCCCCTTGGGCTAATGTCATAGCCTTGGAGGAGGTCAGAAATGGAAGGGTCCTGTGACATCTGTCCATCCAGCTCCTCATTTTGCAGAACCTTAAACCTTTAGCCAGATCTGCTGAGTGTAAGTTTTCTCCATGATGCCTCGTTTATCTGGTCCCTTTAGCAGGGGCATTTTTGTCATTCAAGCCTTAAATTTTCAACTAAGCTCATCCCTTGGGACCCTTGACATCATAAGTCACATAGATACATAAGGCTACTGTCCTTTTGAGAATCACACTTCAAAGTGGTACCAAACAGTCAAACAAACTTTGAGAGCTCATCACAGACCCAGATACATAGAATGGTAGGATCCTGAAGGCTCTGCCTGAGAGCTGCAGGGAAGGGGAGACCCTCAGAACTGGAAATGGTGAGCTTGCTCCAGAGCGTTTTTAGGGATGGAAGGGGTGGCCTGGTTAGTGGGGTTGGGACAGAATTTGCAGGGAAGATGGCTGGGGTTTTGAGGATGCATGGATGGAAGGTGGAAATTAGAAATATGGTGGCCAGAACAGATCTTAAACATAGCAGAGAGTTGGCAAGGCCTATGAGATAAGGTGATAAGACCACTTGTCTATGTGGGAAGAGCTACCTGCTCTCTCCTTAAGGACAGAGAACTTCTTTGTTGCCCCCATAAGCAAGGTTTGATCAAGGCTTCAGGTGGAAAGTCAGAGGGGGGGTGGGTGTGGAGGTTCAGTCCCTGTAAAGCAGGCACTTATAGTCCCAGCTTCTCAGGAGGCTAAGGCATGGGGATTGATTGAGCCCAGGAGTTCAAGGCTAGCCTTGGCAACATAGAGAAACCTAGTCTCAAAGAAAGGGGTGGAGGGGTTAGCTCAGTGTAGAGTGCTTACTTAGCATGTATGAGGCCCTGGGTTCTATTTTTTAAAAAAGGATTCAGGTGAGGTAGAAGAGAAATGGGACAAATGTTTCCCTCCAGGGGAGGACACTGAATATTTCCACAGACTCATTAGCACCTTGCCAATTCTACTCACGTCTATAGGAGCTCCCTCTGCATGTACTCTGAGGAAAGACCTTGATCTCTATGCTCAAGGGTATATGCCATGCATTTGTATGTCTTCCCTGTTTTCTGAATGCCAGAGGCTGGCATCTCACTCGGTCAGTAAATAGACCCTGTTCTGGATCCTAGCTCAGACACAGGTCCTGGGAAGATAAGGGGAAGCAAAGGACACAGCTCTCTCCTTAAAAGATTACAGATGTTGAGCTGTCCAATTACAAACTGGGATATAGGCTCCCAGGGAGAACTGGGAAGTGATGGAGCATGGAGAGCCGGGGAAGGGCTGTGCCAGCTTGAGTTTGGACAGTGGAGCTCTGAAAGCCAATGAAGAATTTTGATCCCTCCAGAAAGTGTTATTGAGGGGTGACAGGATCCAGTCTGCATTTTTTCAGGGCTCACCATGGCTGTAAGAGGGGAAGGAATTGGAGAAAGGTGGAGGTAAGAGGCAGGAGTCTGGCTCCCAGGGGGCAATCCAATAACCCCAAGGTATTCTTGCTTATGGAAGGCTCGGAGCTACAGGGGTTCTCCTGAGCCACTGTGATTCATCATCCTGAGAGGGTAAAAAGGGAGGCTGTGAACATGGCACAGCATGGAGCCCTTCAGTATTTCAGGCACCTCTACTGGCCCCAGAAAGCTGGTGGCTGTTCACTGAGGCCTGGGGGCAGTCAACAGAATTATGAGTCACCCTGTCCTCTGCAGCCTGGCCTGCATTTCCCATATTTAAGAGCAGCTACAGTAGAGATGCTTCGCATTGCAACAAGATGGAGATTTTTGGTGTCCAAGAAACTGAGATGAGTCAAAGGGTTTTCATGAGCCCCTTACTCTCTTATCAAATGTAATTTCCAATACTATTTAGTTGTGCCTGGGTGTCCAGCATCTGTAGAAAGGTGAGACTCTTCATCTGTACACAAGGTCCTACCCCAGACACTCTTGATACTCCTTGTGATTGGTAGTCAGTAAGAAAGGAGCTAAAGGGCATGTCCAGTCCTTTCTGGGAATTTCCTGGCCACCATTCAAGCCAACAGATCCAGTGTTATGACCCTTTCCTAGTGGCCTTCCCTATTGTCCAGATTTTGGCCAGTAGCAACATTTCCCTAGTACCTCTGCAGGTGGCATAGCTTTAATGCAAGATAAGCCCAAGTCCTTGCCTTCATTGATTAGGGGAATATCTATGTTAAAAGAGGTGGGGGGGGCAGGAGATTTGTGTTTTGTCTACTCTTCCTCAGTGCCTTACAGAAAAGGCTCAGTGACTTTGAGTAGGGACATGGTTATAATCTATTAAGGTTCTCCTATCCCCTATTTGATGTATTACATGGCACGAAGCAAGAGGCCCAGGCCCCAGAAAGAGGTCTTTCTGGGGCCTTCTTGCCCCCATGGCCATGGGATGGATGAGAGGGTCTCTGAAATCCTGGTCAACATTAGCATCCTACAGTCCTGAGACATGCTGAGTGAGTCCTATGAATTTGAGAATCAGGTTGCTCCATGTGACTCAAGAGAATTTGAATTGATTTGCTGGCTATCATTTCTTCTGGACCATGTTTAGAGAAGGCTCTGCCCATCTATCTGGGTGAGTCAGTAAAGATTCTCTCTAAGGGACAGTATCCTCTCTTAGCCCCACTGGGTTCCACATACACAAACACATTGTCCTATGGCGGTGGCTTCAGGGATCTGGGTCCATTTCTGGGCCTGAGCTGGAGCATAGGACTCTATTCAACCACAATTTTCCCAAGAAGATGGAGCTGGGAGGTCCATGGCAGCAGAAAGCACCCTTCTCTGTACTTCACTTCTGTTGTCCTGGGCCATTGTCAAGGCAGTCTTCATGTTTGCCTGCTCCCTAGCACCATGCACCCCGCCCATTCTCCCAGCTGCCTGCCTGTCCAGCATGCCTCCTTATCTCCAGTCCAGCACAGAGTTGGCATTAGATCATATCTTTCTCACCCCACCTACAGTGAAATAAATCCCATGAGGCCTCAAAGGAATGGCAGCCTTAGAGACCCTAAGGGCAATTTCATGCTTGCAAAGCCATTTTCAACCACAGAGAAACTTGAGTCAGGAGTCAATCCTCTAATCTAAAAAGGCCTTGCCCAGTGGGTACAGTTGGTCCCACTCTCCAGGGGAGAAAAACTGGGGGGGGTCCCCACTCCAGGCCTTAGGATGGATGAGACAACAACAAGCATTGTTTATTGATGCCATGTCCACAGAAGACCAGAGCCAGAAGGCATCTAACAACAAAATAGTAACAGTACTTGACCTTCATAGAGCTCTTGCTGCATGCCAGACATTCTTCTAAGTCTTTAGATATATTAACTTATTTAATCCCTCACAACAAATCCTTAAGGTAGACTCAATTACTAACTCTACTTTTATAGAAGAAACCGAGACACAGAGAGATTATGTAACTTGCCCAAAGTTATCCTGCTAGTGCGTGACAGAACCAGGGTGTGGACCAAAGCACTCCAGTGCCATGTTTGCAATCTTAATGCCTAGTGTTCTGTGGATCTAATAAAACTCCCTCCTTTTCCAAGATGGGCATTGGGGTCTGGTAGGGAGCAGAGACCTGCAGAAGGCACACAGTAGAGGAAAGAGCCAGATTCACCTCTCTGGTAGAGGAGAAGTACCAAATGCCACATCATTCCAAAAAGCAGTTCCCTCAAGGTCTCCATCAGAGGGGGAGGAGGTGAATAATCCACGCCTGCTACACAAGGCCCCAGCCACTCTGCTTGCTCAGGTTCCGTTTTTGTGTAGTTGGTCATTTTACAGAGACACTTGTCCATTCTTGTATAATCACAGCAAATCACAACACTTCCTAGGTCCCCAGCCACTGTGTATGGGTTATTTCATCGAGCCCACATATTACCCTGTGAAGTACAAACTTAGTATCTCCAATTTACAGACAAGGAAGAGGAGACTAAGTGGGATTAAATCATACCCCCACTGTTACCCCATTGCAAATGACTAAGTAAGGATGTGAACCAGGCAGTGTGATTCCCCTATGCTTGTGCCACCTGGCCCTGGCATTCAGAGTCTTACAAAAATAAGTGTAGGCTATCATTTTGCAGCCTTGATGGCTGGAATTTTTGGCAAAAAAAAAAAAAAAAAAAAATACCAGCAGTTGAGAGGGACTCAGCCCACTTGCAATTCTACAGACTTTTGGTATTACTTTTTTTAAGAAGAAAACCAGAGATAAAAAATGGACAATATGTTTTAAATATTGACACCTAACCACACAAAATGCATTGTAATATAATCATGCTATTTGTGAATCACTACAGGATTTATGAAGTGGTTAATTCTTGGTCCCATGAAGAATTTAGATGTGTTACTTGTACGCAGCTCCTTGCATGGGCAGGAGAGCTCAGAAAAAAGATTCCACTCTACACCCAGCCCTGATGCAGTGTCATGACGGAATGGACACTGTGCAGGTTTTTAGTATAGTCTGAATATCTTCTTCTTTCACTGTCATCAGCATTTTTCTGTGACAGGTGTGAATGACTCATTGAGAGATGAAGTTGGGGGGAGGGCCTTGCCTCAGGGAGGAGCCAGAAGGGGTGGAAAGTCTCCAGGGGTTCTGAGGAGGTGTTCCTCACCAGTCCAGGCCCACAGCCTCAGCACAGTGGCCCCACTTTACAAGGTATGGCGTGCAGAAAGGAGAAGCAAGTGACTGGGAAGAAGAAGCCCTCTTACCTGTCTCTCCCCAGGACTGTGATAAGGATGAGCTAGAGTCCACCCTATGCCACGTGACCCTGACACCCGTGCTCCTGTTGCTTCTCCTGGTGGTTCAGGCCTCCTAGAAAGAGACTTTGTGCTACAAGAAGACAGAGTGGGGTCTGCCTGGAGAGAATCCTCACCCAGCTCTCAGTTAAATCACTCTCTAAGCAACTC